GTGGTAGCTTTTAGGGCAAGTATTGCATTTGTGCAAAGGATTTAGGGCAAGTACCACACTTTGCGCAGTCAGTGTTTACAGCTAAGGGATGAAACACAGACAGACCAACTTCTAAATATTCCTTGTACATGACTCTAGCATGTCATAAGGTTTGTACCACATTAACAACCCATCTTCCCCATCACAGTCCATTAGCAAATTCCACCCTCCCACCATTAAAATTTTAGAATTTTGGCCGTTCCATATTTTCTGCGATTTGTATGGGCCCTTACACTTCAGAAGGCATGGTTCGGCCTACCAACAGCCGCAAAAAACCTCTTGACAATTTCACCCTCTTTGGCCGCCCTTCTTGGACCGTCCATTTTTGGTTCAACCTTCTATGGCCCCTAGCTTTCATTCCTGTTTTCGTGAAAGAAGTTTTACTTGTGTTAGCGATTGTTTGCACTGAAAAAACTGTTAGTACGATACACTTGAGCACGCAGTTTCTGCGAAATTTTACGAATTTTTCAGGAGAAACTGGAGAAAATTACAAACGCAAAAGCTGGCCTGCTGGTGATGCACCGAAGAGCAAAAAAATCAGATTTGATGAGTAGACTTATTAAGTTGATTCGAAATTTTCCAATTTTTGCCCAGAATCCCATCTTTCCTGCTGATTTTTGGTGAAGTCCTTCGGATACGTATTGCTGTTTTCTGGATTTGTACCGCTCCCGATGATACATTTTTTGCTCATTAATATAAACTACCATTTTAAAAAAATATTTTCAAACTTCACTATTCGTGAAAAATTCCTCCGAAATTTACTATTTTTGAGATGCAGAGCTCAATAACACAATTTATCATTTTAAAAAAGAAGTTCCTTAAAAAATTTCCACGAATTTCACTGTTTATGAAATTCGAAAGCATTCGAAGTGGTGCAGTTTGCTAATGATTTTGAGGATTATTGATGGATTTCTTGTTTAAAAATTACTTAGAAACAAGCTGATGGCTGTTTCGATTCCCGGCGCTGATAAACAGCCATCAGCTTGTTTCTAAGTAATTTTTAAACGAGAAATCCATCAATAATCCTCAAAATCATTAGCAAACTGCACCACTTCGAATGCTTTCGAAAATTTTTGCCACTTAAACGAAAAAGTAAGAATCGTAGGAAAATTGATTTTCCGAAGTTAAATTTTCTACTTCCAATAAGCGAAGTAACACGTTACCTGCCACAGTATTGTTGTTCCGCATTGCCACATTAACATTTACGATTCTTCAAAAAAAGAAAAAAGAGAGAAATAGCTTGATTTTTTCGTAATTCGGTGAGCGAAAGGTGACCGGTAAATGTGTTGTTGACTTGTTTCTTTTATTTTTGAACGAATTGTTGTTTATCATTATGCGTTTTTGCTTCATGTCGTTTTTTGCTAGATTTTTTTTTTTTGAATTTATAACAAATTTTTATAACTATTTTTTTGTTTTCAAGTAAAAAGCTGGCGAAATTATTCCCGGTTTGTATCTCAAAAATTCTTCCATACTTGCAAATCCGTTAGTTTTGGTAATTGATGCCCCTCCCCCCTTTCCCCTCGTCTACGAAACCCGTAGTTGAAGGAAACTCTTCTGCTTTCCCTTTGCACTTAGGGTGAATGAAATAAGTTTCTCCTCGGTGCTTTTGCATTTTGCTCTTCAACAAATTCTAACCCGGTCACCTCATCGTGGAATGAGATAGGTAGTAC